GTACATCTGACTTTCACAAAAAAAACAACATAGATTTTAAAATACCCAAGCCAGACTTTTTTATGCTTCAAAGATTTTAGCATTATTTTCAAACGATCATAAATTTCTTTGAATATTACAGAATGAGACAACAAAAGACAAGGAAATTAATTTTCATTCTGTGAAGAAGAAGTGCCTTTAAACTTTTTGAAGAAGTATTGATAAAAAGTTCTTTTTTCCTCAAAGAAGTTTTTCACATCATTGCAATAACAAAGTTCATTTTATTTATCAATAAAAAAAAAGACAAAAGCAAACTTCACATATAATAAATGAATATTTTGGTTATTATTTAACATCTAAAATAAAAATATATTTGTCAAATTATAAACTATTTTTTTTTTTACATGTGTTGTTATTAGTTTGTACAAAACAAATTGATATAAATTTGGAAATATTTCATTTAAATTTATTATAATTAAAAGTTGCCATTTACTGTATTTTAATATATATTTAGTGTATTTAGGGTCAACTATATTTTTTTTCATTTATCAAGTTTTTCATTGAAATAATTTACCAAGAAAATAATCTAGGAAAAAAATCTAAATATATAAAAAAAAATAAATATGCATATATATATTTGCCTAATGCGACTGTTTGACTTCATTACTAGTACTGTTTAAATACAATGAAATTTACCAACCCCTGAAGCAATCTATTCAGCAAAAACCGTAATGTATATAATTAACTAGCACAAATATGGTTCTATTTTTAAACTATATAACTTAGATATTTCAAAAAAATATATATGTTTAAGCAAATTACTTCCAATAATCTAACATCTAAGAAATATACCTAAATATTAATATAATATAAAGGGTTTTCTTTGCTGGCTCAAGAAGGAAATCATTTTACAGACAATATAATATACTTGTTAATAGAGAGGATATAAGTAATCATCTAAAAGAAAAAAATGTACAATTGTTTTCCAAGCTATGGTTTTTTTTCACTTCGGGAGTCAAAAAAGCACTCTTGATTTCGATTGGTTTCATTAGGCATGGAAGTCGTTTTCATGTCATGGAAATTGTCATTGGAGTTGTTTTCTATCATTAAATAAAGGCCAAGTGAATAAAATCACAATGTTCTGCCATTTTAAATAATAGGTCATCATATTAGAATAGGGACAAAAAATATTGTATTTTGGTGGTTTTGTTATTTATTCATTAATATAAATGTCATATTTTTTACATCAATTTTGTTATTCTGTGATTATTAGTTTTATTCTGGGAAAATAAAATCTGAATATAATTTATATTCTGTTTCTAGTGAAAAAAAATATTGTTTTTTTTTTTTTAAATAATAGTAAATTAATTTTATATTATATTAATTTTTCTGACAAACAATTTAATATTTAATATTTATAACCAATACAGATTAAGATCAAGAAAAGTTTTTATTAATAATAAAATATTTCCAACATAAACTTTTTATTTTAAAACATGATTTTATGGTAATGCTTTGGTTTATTATTATTGGCTATTTTTAAAATAATTAATTATATTGATACTATAATAAATTTTAATTTATCTTAAAATACAATAATCAAGGCAAAACATCTTAAAATATTTAAAAAATGAGGTACATTTACAATTTTTTTTTAGTTTTTTAGTTTTGATTGTCATTAAAGTTCCAATAATATAATGTTTTAAGATAAATTTTTTTTTGTTGAAAAGTTTTTAAAAATGAGTGGGAATATTGTGATCTTTTTATACCTAAATATATTTTAATTGGTGTTAAAAATTAATTTTCAGTACTGTAAAATGGGGTAACTTTGGGACAGCAAGTAAAATTTAGTTTGTGGGGATAAACTGGGTTGGTCCAGTCAGCATGGGCAGCTCTTTTACTGCGCTACTACCTTGCAGCACAAGTGAAAGTTTCATTAACACAAGAATATTGAAGGGGGCGGGGTGGCCGAATGGGCTAAAGCGTGTGCACAGCACCGCGAGTTGCCTGGTAACCGGATTATAGATTTGAGAAGATTTAAAAAGTACGAGTTTGCGTCCTGGTGCCGGAGGGGATTATAGCCTAAAAGGCGAGGTAGGAAAGAACAAAAAAAAAAAAAAAAATTTTGAAATAAATAAAACCTAAGTTCATAATGAGTTTAGTGAACTAGGGATCTCAAACTGCTCCAAGGTAATAGTGCAGTACATGCCTACACAAAGTATGTTTTTGTAGACTGTACCAACATAGTGGATCCATCACGCAATCGCCACAAACTAAATTTTACTTGCTGTCCCAAAGTTGCCCCATCTAACGGTATCAAAAATAAAAAGTTATTTCTCGGAACTCTGTCATGAATAATGGCCTCCTACTGAAAATAATCAAATTTTCACAGAAAAGTATAAGCATGAAGATGACTATTTCCAATAATGAACAAATAAATGCCTAAAGTGGCTCTATCTTTATGCCTCATACTCAACTTTCCAGGAAAACAGCCATACCTTGCAATTGCTTAAATAAGGAGAGGAATTCTGCCTTAAAGCAGAGAAAAAAAACCATTGCTCAGAAAATCCATCTTGACAGGTTACTCAAAGAAACCCTTAAATCTAAACAAATTACTTATGAATCCTTTCAAGAGTTATTACATTCTAATACTTGAATCGTTATAACAACTGCTAACAAATATTATGCATTATATGTATCATTTAAAAATATATTTCTACATGAGCAAAAATTACTTATGACTGAATGAATAATGCATCAATAATACTGATGAACTATAAAAATAAAAAATAAACTGTACATTATGAGTATATGTATTATTCCCGAAAAAGTATAAAACATTTTAACTACATCATGATAAAGAAATTAAATAGTAAACAAACCTAATCTATCTTAGCAGCAATGCCAACTTATAAACATTCTTATAACAAAATATTACTACCCAGTATTTTTTTTTAATGATCTTTCAAAATGAAATTGAGAACATTATGAGTTAGTGAAGTTGTTGATTACCAATGCCCAAACTTGGGCTTAAGTTCTGAAGTGTATACAATCTCAAGACATATTTTCTTTTAACAATTGCACAATTTAATTTCTTATAAGAATTCTGAAGAATGTATTACGATTCTTTGTTTTCGAATTAAATCTATGGCTAAACAGTCTTTTGAAAATAAAAAGGCTGACATGAAAGGTGTACCAATTAACTTAGTAAGCCATATATAATTCCCCACAATTTTAATTTGATATACTTTTCTTTAATCTTAGCCAAATAATTCTGTTATAAATATAATAAATAATTACTCTCTTCTACCTTTAAATATCTAAAATTAAATGAAAAAATAAAAAGGATGAAAAGTGGGGAAAATATCATTTTAGGGGTATTCTATCCTTCACTTGAATTATTATATTTGCAGTTTTTATTTGTAGTTTTAATAGGAATCTCATTGGATTTCGATAAAAGATTTTAATGGTATTTTTAAAAATCATTATTCTATTATTGAATGGGGGCTAGTTTTTGTCCATTCAGGAGTCAAAATATAATTCTGAGGCAGTGGAGCTTACCTGTACCATGGATAAGTATTTGACTGATTTATATTTAAAATAGAGGAAGAGTATGTATTTAATTAGAATGTTCCATTTAAAGGATTTAAGTGATGAATATGACTAAGGATAACATATATAATTTCAACTTTTCTATGATTTATGTAGATATTTTAATTCATAATTCAGTTCGAAGAAAGCAATGGAAAGAAAAAATTGGACCGCTATAAGCTGAACGGTACCATATCAAGGCAAGAAATTAAGACTTCTTAAATAATAACACAGCAATTCCTTTTTATACCTTTCTTTATCATGTTTCACTTTTTGAAATATTAATTAAATGATAAGAAATTTTTAGGTTTGTAAACAATAAGTCGCTTAGTTAAACTCATTCTCAGGTTATCAATTATATTTTTTTATAGATTGAAATTATTCTGGTTAAAATTCACTTGAAAAGGAAGCTGAATATCTAATATTTCAATTTCTTTTTTTCAGTGAACACATTTTTTTTTTATGGTGAACAGTGACTGTTTCAGAACATTTGGTATTGAAAATTTAATTCTCATATCTAAGCAATTACGAATATATTTTTCATAAGCCATGTTTTAATTTACTACTCAAGAATAATTTGTTGTTCTTACTATGTTACATTTGTTTACAGAACATAACAATTTCACATTTGTGTGAAATATTGACATTAAAACATCAAATTTAATTTAAATTTTTTTTTTTTGTACCCACTTCTTTTGTAACAATGGAATATAAAATAAAACATATAATTATCGTGAAACACAATATGCAATAAAAAAAATATTTTTTAATAAGATTAAAAATATTATTATAACTCCTTCATAATTTTATAAAATATATTGTAATTAAAAAATATTGTAATTAATAAAACAAAAACTATTTGTTTTTTGTTTTATAGTGACTAGCTGTTCTAAAAAAATATAAATTTTTTAAAAAAATGCTTTTAATATTATTGAACCTAACTGAAATTTACATCATGCAATAATAATTTGATATTATTCTCTCAAAAATTTAAGTTTGATCAACATAAAAAAAAAATAAATAAATGATAGAGCAATACAGTGACATGTAATATGAACAATATTTACCACCAGATTATGTAAAATAAAAGCACACACTTAAGAGTGAACTTATTGTGCAAACACCAAATCCATTCATAGAAAGCACACACAATGATGCTAGAGTTTGACAAAATTTTCGAATAAGAGAAAACAAATATTTACAGGTAATATGATTATGGAAGGAGTGTTGTACTCTAGTGACAGGTTATATCCAAAAAGAAAACATGACAAAGAAAAGTGTCGAAAATTCAAACATTTTAAGAGAATCAAACAATGTTGAAACCAATGATCTTAGAAAATAGGGTAGATTTAGCTAAAAGTAAAAGTTAAAAAAAAAATATATATATAATGATATGTTACATAAAATCATCCATAAAGAAGAACAGTTACCTGTTATACTACAGAGTAGCCGAAGTGTTGGAGCTTCCCCACTGTATTGATTAATCATTCCTTTGTTGGCTGCTTGGGGTACAGGAATTGTAAGTGAAATTGGTTTGTGGAACTTTCTTCTTCTAGGTTCAACAGTGACGATAGGAGAAACAGCAACACGATTACCAAGGAGCTTAGCAGTAAGTTCGGCAGGAATTGGTTGTGCCTGAAAAAAAAATTAAAAATATGCTCTAATAAAAAACAATTAAAATTAAACTTAATAATTCTTTTTTCAAGATAAAACTGCAACTGGCTGAATCTAGCATTCTAATATTTTATGAATATACAGCTATATTTATGTGAAAAAATATGACCTAAACTCCTAAAATTTGTTTTTTTCAATTTTACAATTTTTTTTTTACTTCAATCCATTGAAAATTAAAAGTATTAAAGAGTAGAGAATAATTATTAAAGTTGTCAATTTTTTTTCCTTTTTAAGTTCTGTTTTTTCAAGTCTTCTTTAAGATTTAGAGGATCCTTAAACTTCCTAACAGTTTCCTAAGCCTCATACATATAAGCTGAATTTTATGATCAGCTGTTTATTCTAGAAAAAAGTAAAGAATAAATTATTACTTTGTTCTCAGAATACAAAGTGTAATAGAATCAATAGGGACAAATTACATTATGCCATAGAGCTAAATATTCCAGAAAAGATTAATGTGAATGCTGACAACAGAGCAGCTTAGATTAAAACAAGGATCGTGAAATTTAATTATTGTTTTTTATAATTAGTTGATAAATAGTTCAATAGAAATATATAAAAATTCCCATATGAGCAGGGCTGACAAGTGGCACAGAGCCATGGACCATTTCCAAATTGAATGAAAATATACTTTTAATATATGAGAGAAAATACATCTATAAATTTTGGAAGGAGCCTGCATTTGACAATTATGGAGACAAAGAAACAACCTGGAGCTGTACAAGGAACCAAATTTTGTTCATTTCATCCTGAACTACTAAGGTAGGCTGGTCATATGAATGATACTGATATCGCTATAGAAGGCGTATTGCATGGAACTATAAGAAATAGGAGACCAAAACTTCATTGGAAGGACAGAGTTGTCCATGATACAAGGAGTCTGTTTGATGTTTGAAACCGGTTGAGTGAAGAATAGAATTTAAACTACTAGAAGCAAATGATGATACAGGAAGCTGTCACTTAGAAATGGATTGTGTGCTAATAAAGAAGAAAAAGAAGTATTTTATGATCGGTTTATTTTTTTAAATGAACTCACAACATATGTAATTCAATTATCATTTCCAAACATTTCATCTTCCTTTCAGCTCCATTTTTATACACCATAACATCCTGCATATGTTTCCATTAAGTCAGTTCTGAAGGAGCTTATTAGTTTTTTGGAATATTTTAATTAAAATATTTTAAATAATTTCTTTTTCATTTTAACTATGCATATAACCTCTTATAACACTAAAAATATTAACAATGGAAACGTGTAATATATTATAAAAACAAAATGGAATTTCGGTTGGAAAAATATCACTTCTTATAATTAATGTTTAAGATTTTTATTAATAATTATAAAAAACTGTCATTAAAAAATATATAAAATAGTGTGTGGTTTTAAATGCAGATCATAAAAAAAAGAGAGTAAAAAGTAGAGTAGAAAAAAACCTTTTCCCAAGATAATTTTTTTATTAAAAAAACTATATTTGAGACCCATAAATATTTTGGATTTATTTATTATTATTTTTATTTAGAAGATTGATAAATTACTACTTCGAAGTAAAAAATTAACTAACATTATAACTACTGTAAAAGCTAGAAATCACATGTAAGAATGACTGTAAGTAGAGTAAGTAACTATTGTTTTTCATTCAGAAAGTGAATATTTAGTAAAAGTACTATAATGATACTATTATATTATACATATATTATTTAAGTAAATAGTATTTTATTAATGATATGCTTATACAAATACCATTATAGTACATTTACAAATTATTCACTTTCTGTACCAAAAGCAAAAGTGTCTTACTCTACTATCATTGTAACCCTGTCAAATTTTTTTTTTCATGCTATAGAAATGTGCACATACTTTTTTTTTTTAATTTGATGCTAGCATTTATTTATTTAAACTTTTCTCTATATTTTAGGAAATATACCTAGAAACTTAGAGGCTTGACAACAGGTTTAAAGATATCGTCATGATAGTTTTTAGCGACTGTTTTAACTGCTTTTTCACAAAAATGGAGCTTGGTGCTGCCATCAAAGCAAACTCCCCACCAAACCATCACTGAGGAAGGATGATGACCTCTTTTCACTCTTCCAATGACTTCCTTGGCTTCTTTAGAGCTGTGTACATACACATGATCATTTTGGCGATTAAATTTGTCTTTAATTGTAAAAATTTTCTCATAGCTAAACAAAATCTTTCGATGAAGACCATTGGAGTAACGGCCAAGGAGCACTTTGCATCTATCCACTCTAATTTTTTTTAGAGAAGTGGTTAGCTTTTGGCCAGTCATTCTTTAAAATGAAACCATCCTAAGTTCACTTTTTACTATGTGAGACATTGATCTGACAGAGATTCCCATTTCCCGAGACATGATTTGTTGTTTTGGAATGGGATTTCTTCTGATTCGAGCAGCCACTCCTCAAACTGCATTTGCCGTTCTAACAGTGCGGAGACCCATCTGAGGTTTGTCACATACAAATAGGGTCTCATTATATCTATTTTTAGTGTTATGTTTAGTGTTAGTGGGCTAATACCCAAAGGTTTCAAAGTTGTTGAAGTAGTTTGTTTCCTTCTTTTTAATGTAAACCACCAAAAAATAATATTAAATATAACAATCAATACTGTCAAAGTGGATTACTTTACTCCAATGACAATGTTTGTTGCTGTATGTGGCTTACGAGTAGCAGTATAAGGGGTAAGAGATCTGATAGGAAAAGAGAAGAATATCTTCAGATTGGTAGGTGCAAAGTTTCAATGGAAGGACAAACATAAGTTATCCGGCATTTTTCTTTATTCTTGTGTTATTGGAAGTTCCAGGGAATATTTGTCTCCCTCTTCGCCAATATTTTTTGTACCAAAAATTGGATAAGTCATTATATGTAATGAGCTTGAAGATTTCCAGAAACGTCCAATAGTAAATAGAGACAAAAAACTAACTTGATTATTAATTAAATTGAACAAAAGGCAAATAAGTGTGAAAAGATAATTAGTATAAAGGTCAAAATTGAATGGAAAATATTTATTAAGTTTAAAAAAAAAAAAAATGTAGATGTTTCTCAAAAATATTTAACAGAGTGTAAACAAGGGTTTTTGTCTTTCATTTATACTCTAAGAAAACTGGGGTATGAACTCCAGACTTTTATGACTCCTGTAAGCCGATAAAAAATTCAGGTTATTACATGAAAGTTCAAAAACTAGTTCAAAGTAACCAAATTTCAAAAGTACCTTATTTTTCTTAAGTAAAATATTTTCACAAGTACTATTAAAACTATTTTATAGAAATATGTATGTCAGTAAACTGTTAAAAAAAAATTTCTTTTACATGAAAAAGTTGGAGAATAAGATCTTTCAATGTAATAATCTAATGATAATAGTAAAATAAATATTAATTGGAGACAGTTGTTATAATTTTTTTCCCTTTCAAATCTGAAGATGACATGAATAATGGTCTGAGTGTCAAACTAAAAAAAAAAGTTTTAAAAAATTTTATGTGAATTGAATAGCCTAAAATATGGTCTAAATAACACAATCATTAATATTTTCTCTACTAACGATTAAGGAATTTAAGGTAAATATACCCTTTAAGAGAAATTTTCGACATGTATGTGAACAGCAGAGCTTTTGTTCTGAAGGTGAATATTTGTAAATGGGTTTAATTGGCAACAAATTTAGTGTTATATTGATTTCTTTTCCTATATGTCATTTAGTTAATTATTCATGGAAAACTTGGGAAATTCTAATAGTATAAATTGCAGCAGTAATTTATACTATTGCTGTTTTGGGGCTCCATGTTTTGGGGTCAACGGATTTTTTATATTAAAAAAAATATATGCTTGGTTTTAAAATATGAAATAGCAAATTGACAGTTGAATGAATCAAAATTTCAAACTTATCTGCTAAATAAAAGTGATAAGAAAACCTCCCTGAAAAAGCCAGCCTTACCCTATTAAAAAATCAACTGCCAATTAGCTATTCTGGTATGTCACTTGAGGTTCAGACATCACCCTCTTAAGTGTTACAGCTGCAAATCTATCCATACTTGAACTATACATAGGGCATATAAAGCTTATTATTTATTAATGAGTTGAAAAACTGTCTAATTCAATTTTTCTGTTTAGCACTTAGACCCTAATTGAAGTCTAGCCTTCATATATTGTATTATGCAAGTGGTAATTTAATTTTATATATAAACGTGTAATCATCATATCCTAGTAAATGACAATTATCAAAAATGAATAACGAATTTAACAAACCAACCTTATAAAAATATGAGTAAATGGAAATCTTCAAGACTGTTATAAAACATCAGAAAGGACATGAAACCAACAAATTTTTTTTAATGATATGAAGATATGTAATTGTTACTCATTTACAAAAAGAAAAAAAAATCAACATCGTGATAAGTTATTGAAATAACATCAATATAACCCTATCTTAATCAATGGGCCATGTTAGCTCTCTGTTTTGAAACGAAAGACTTTGAATCTCAGTTTTTCCACTATGGAAATGAAACCTTTGTAATAATTATTGTTTCTCATTATTTTTATTCATAGGTCAACTGGGAGCATACCAAAATTACACATTTATACACCAAGTTAATCAGGGGCAGGTTATGATACATAATTTAGCTTTAAACCAGTCTTTTATTTGTAGGGCCTAGACTAAGAATATTCGTAAATTAGAGTAATGAGTAATGGACCTTTAGCTGCCGCTCTTTTTACAGTCCCCCACAAACCATGGATACCCAGAAAGGGGTGGGATGGCATAAAAACCCTAGGGTCATCAACGCCAGAAATATGATTCGTTTTTTTATTTAATTGTTGAAGCAGTTTGATACCGATGTCATAACAAGCACTAGCGGATCCAGGATTTATATTTGGGGGGGGGACTTAAGCCCGAAAGTTGTTTTTTTCATAAAAATAACGATAATTACTTTGGAAAAAAAGAAAGAAACTAACTACCTATA